ATGCTGATGATGCTGCTGATGATGATGATGCTGATGCTGTCGATGATGCTGATGATGATGCTGATTTTGATAATGATGATGATGATGATGCTGATGATGATGATGATGCTGTTGATGAGGATGAGGAGGATGAGGATGTTGATGATAACGATGCGGATGAGGATGATGACGATGCTGATGCTGCTGATGACGATGATGATGATGATGATGCTGAGGAGAAGGAGGAGGAGGAGGAGGAGGAGGAGGCGGATGATGGTGATGATGATGAGGAGGAGGAGGAGGTAGACCTGGATGAGGAGGTAGAGCTGGAGAAGGAGGAGACGGGTGATGAGGAAGAGGAGGAGGAGGAAAAGGCGGAGGAGGAGGATGAGGAGGAGACGGATCAGGAGGAGACGGATGAGGAGATGGAGGAGGACGAGGAGGAGGATGATCGATCAAGAGGAAGAGGATTGAGGAGGGGGATGGATGATGAGGATGAGGCTGATGAGGAGGATTGAAGAGGCAGGAGGAGGAGGAAGGCAAGGAGGAGGATGAGGAGGAGGAGGGGTGAAGGAACATGAGGAGGAAGAGCAGGATCGGAGGAGGAGGAGGAGGAGGAGGGGGAGGAGGAGACGAATGATGATGATGATGATGCTGCTGATGATGCTGCTGATGATGCTGCTGATGATGATGATGATACTGATGATGATGATGATCATGATGATGACGATGATGATGCTGATGCTGATGATGATGCTGATGCTGATGCGGCTGGTGGTGATGATGCTGCTGGTGATGATGCTGATGATGATGATGCTGCTGATGATGATGATGACGATGCGGATGATGATGAAGATGCTGATGATAATGCTGATGCTGATGCTGCTGCTGATGATGATGATGCTGACGCTGATGATGATGATGATGCTGATGGTGATGGTGATGCTGCTGCTGATGATGATGAGAAGGGGAAGGATGATGATGATGATGATGATGTTATGATGATGCGGGTGAGGATCAGGAGGAGGAGGAGGAGGAGGAGCAGCAGGAGGAGGAAAGTGGAGGAAACGGAGGAGGAGGACAATGAGGATGAGGAGGATGAGGAGGACGAGGAGGGGGAGGAGGATCGAGAAGGAGGAGGAGGAGAAGGTGAAGGAATCGGAGGAGGAGGAGGGGGACGAGAATGAAGAGGAGGAGGAGGAGGAAAAGGAGGAGGAGGAGGAGGAAACGGAGGAGGCGGGGAGTCGGAGCACGAGGAGAAGGATGATGATGATGATGATGATCATGATGATGATGATGATTATGATGATGGTGATGATGCTGCTGATGCTGATGATGATGACGATGACGATGATGATGATGATGATGCCGGTGCTGATGCTGATGCTGCTGATGATGAGGATGATGAGGATGATGATGATGATGATGCTGTTGATGCTGATGGTGCTGCTGATGATGATGGTGATGCGGATGATGATGATGATGATGATGTTGCTGATGATGATTATGATGATGATGCTGATGATGATGATGCTAATGCTCATGCTGATGATGATGATGGTGATGATGCTGATGATGATGATATTGATGCTGATGTTGTTGATGATGATGATGATGATGTTGATGCTGCTGATGATGATGCTGATGATGATGATGCTGATGTTGAGGATGATGATGAAGATGATCATGATGATGCTAATGATTATGATTATATGATGATGATGATGATGATGATGATGATGATGATGATGATGATGATGATGATGATGATGATGATGATGATGATGATTGATGATTGATGATGATGATGCTGATGCTGATGCTGATGCCGATGCTGCTGCTGATGATGCTGATGATGATGCTGATGAGGAGGGAAAGGAGGAGAGGAGGAGGAGGAGGAGGAGGGGGAGAGGAGGAGGAGGAGCGAGGAGGAGGAGGCGGAGGAGGACCAGAAGAGGAGGAGAACTGAGGAATAGAGGATTAGCGGCAGGGGATAGGATGTCAGGAGAAGGAGGCGAGGAGGAGGAGGAGGAGGAGGAGGCAGGAGGAGGAGGAGAGGAGGAGGAGGAGGAGGAGATGAGGAGGGGGAGGGGGAGGAGGAGGAGGAGGAGGAGGAGGAGGAAAGAGGAGGAGGAGGAGGAGGAGGAGCAGGAGCAGGAGCAGGAGGAGGAGGAGGCGGCGGAGGAGGAGGAGGAGGAGGAGGAGGAGGAGTGATCCTGCTCTGATGGCGACATCCCCTTGACCCTGCCTGGGCGTCCGCCGGCGGGCCCGGCGCGGCTGGGGCTGCGTTCGGCGCGCTTCTGGCGCTCGCGTGCGCCGCGGCGGCGGCTTCCGCGGCGTGGCACGCGAGGCCGGGCATAGTAGCGATAATAAACTGAAGAACAACATATTTATGCGAATACGAATAATAAGACGAACAATAATACTAATACATACACGTCATCCGACGAAACACATACACGACATATCCTCCTCCTCCTCCTCCTCCTCCTCCTCCTCCTCCTCCTCCACTGGGAAAGCCTTGGAGTCCGGGTTTCGCGGCATCCGTCCCACCTGGGGCGTGCGGTAGGTTCTTGCGGCGATGGCGCGCCGGCTACGCTGGCGAAGGTGTTCCAGCTTGAGTTTTCCGCCGGGCGGAGCGACGTGGAAGCACCGAGGGACAGGGCAACGCCACACGACCCGACAGGGTGCAGCCTTGAGCGATCGGGGCCGCGATCGGTTCACGGGTGAAGTGGTGTCACAAATTTTCGCGTGCGCCGACGCCGCACGAACCTGCCGTAGGCTGGTGGCACTGATTCAGGCCTCCAAGACGGTGCCAGACCATAGGAGATGGGGTGAGAGAATCGCGCCGCACTGTCGATGCTTCGGCGATGCGGCTCGGTATGAAGCCCGAGGATCTCCACGCCGACGGCGCCGATGCATCGGCGATGCGGCGCGATCCTCCGACCCCATCTACCTACTCGGACCCCATTCGGGAGGCCTCTAAGCTGTCCGACCTACTTCCTCGGATGGTGATGTATGCTGTATGCTGCCTTTGTCGGGTCTCGCGGCACCCATCCCCTCCTGGGTCGAGCGGCGCCAGGACCGAAATGAATGGTTGCAGAGCGGTCCAGGACGCGCTCAGAGCGTTCCGGAGCGCTCTGGACCGGCCGCGGCGCCCGACATATGTTCCAGGGCTGCCGTCAGAGTTTTCAGATGTAAATCCGGGGCCGATCTTGTCCTGGTCCTGGCTTTGTCTTATTGGGGTGGCAGGCTGGCGGCGCCAAGGTGGCCTGACCAGGCAAGGGCGGGGATGAGGACAGCGAGACAGATCCACCTCATCCTTCACGGAGGAGGGAGAAGAGGAAGGTGGACCTGCATGAATGTCCGCTCGCTGCGGGCCGAATCAAAACGCGGAGCCGCAAGGCAGGGCGCCGCCCTGGAGCGCCAGGCGCCCGCGCCGCCGCCGGAGCTGTTCCCGGCCGAGAGGTCCCAGAGACGGCCGTCTTGGGAGCCCGGGCAGTGCCAATCGCAACGATGGAGACTGATCCTCATCGGATCGGAGGATTGAGGGAGGAGGAGGAGGAGGAGGAGGAGGAAGCGGAGGAGGAGGGAGGAGGAGGAGGAGGAGGAGGAGGAGGAGAGGAGGGATAGGAGGAGGATAGGAGGGGATAGGAGGTGGATAGGAGGAGGATAGGAGGAGGTATAGGAGGAGGAGGAGGAGGAGGAGGAGGAGGAGAGGAGAGGAAGGAGGAGGAGGGAGGAGGAGAGAGGAGGAGGAGGATAGGATTGAGGACAGGAGGAGGAGGAGGAGGAGGATAGGAGGAGAACGGAGGAGGATTGGAGGAGGATAGGAGGGGAGGAGGGGAGGGAGGAGGAGGAGGAGGAGGCGGAGGAGGCGGAGGAGGCGAAGGAGGAGGAGGAGGAGGCGGAGGAGGAGGAGGAGAGGGGTCCCAGACCTGGCCGTCCTGGGAGCCCAGGCAGTTCCAACCGCAACGAGGGGGACGAGTCCTCATCGGATCGGGGAACAAACTCTAGGCCTCCTAGTTGGGGTCAGAGTAGATGTGGTCGGAGGATCGTGCCGCATCGCCGATGCATCGCGGATGCATCGGCGATGCATCAGCGATGCGGCTTGATATTGGGCACAACTTGCTCCACGCCGACGTCGCCGATGTATCGCCGACGTCGCAAGTGCATGGCCGATGCATCGCCGATGCATCGGCGTTGTTTTGGCGATGCGGCGCGATCCGTTGATCCCATCTACTCCGACCCCATCTAGGAGTCCTCTACAAATATTGAGCTCCTGCGCCGAGCCATGACATCGGCTCGGACCTCCGACATGTTATGTCTACGTCATGGTTTCTTCCCCGTCCTCATGGGAACGGGTCCTCAGGTTATCCGCCGTTTTGAGCTCGTGGGCTCTCCGCGGGCCTCGGCACCGTCAGCAACGCGACGCGGGAGGAAGGGCTGGTCCTGGGGGGGATGCCCCAGGGTCGAGGGCCCGTTTTTCTCTCATGACTCGCTTCCTTCATGCCAAGCCCATGGGCCCGGATCTGCGGCGAAATGTTTTCTCAGTCTGGGTATTTTTCCTAATCCTCTGCGTGCTCTTCCGTTATCGGCCCCGGGGCCATCAAACCAGATTCGTGTAGACAAGCTACCTCTAGGAAAGGTGCCAGGACTTCTGGAGCCGCATTTACACACAGATCGTCGGATATTTTGAGGGCTACCGCCAGTCAAGCATTTTTTCGGAGCGCCTGATCTGCCGAACGGGCCACCAATCTGTGTCTTGTATGAAGTGTTAGTACAGTCAACGCGCATAGTAAGGACAAACGACTTTTTCAAGGGTACCCTTGGGTCCTTGCCTGCCTCAGCCTCTGCGGCCCGTCCCTAGCAATTTTCGCAGGCCAGAATACTTCAACTTCGGCCTCCAAGGGTCTTGCGTCCTTACCACGCGTCCTTACTATACGTTTTCACTGTAGATGGTTTCTGGCTGAGACCGTATTGTTCTAAGGCAGTGGTGGTAGGTTTCTGACAGCGTCGCT